GTGAATGATCCCTTTTACATGAAATGTCCAGAATAGCCAAATCTATAGAGACAGAAAGTAGATTTATGGTTGTCAGAGGCTGGGGGTGGGGTGGGGGGAAGAGAAGTGACTGCTCATGGGTACAGGGGTTTTTGGTGGAGGAGGACAGGTAATGGAAATGCTCCAAAATGATTGGAGTGATTGTTGCACAACTCTGAATGTACAAAAAAACCCACTGAATTGTACACTTTAAACAGGTGAATTATATCTCAATAAAGCATGTATATACATATGTGTGTGTGTGTGTGTGTGTGTGTATGTATATGGCATTGAAGATAAAAGATCCCAGTCAGAATGGCACCATGAGCACATAATAGCAGTCTCCCCTTGGGCCTTTTGTTTTGTTTTTGTTTGGAAACAGAGTCTCGCTCTGTCACCAGGCTGTGCAGTGGCGCCATCTCCCCTCACTGCACACTCTGCCTCCCAGGTTCAAGCAATTCTCCTGCCTTGGCCTCCCGGGTAGCTGGGATTACAGGCATGTGCCACCACACGTGGCTAATTTCTGTATTTTTTGTAGAACGAGGTTTCACCATATTGACCAGGCTGGTCTTGAACTCCTGACCACAAGTGATCCTTCCATGGCCTTCCAAAGTGCTAGGATTACAGGTGTGAGTCATCGCACCCAGCCCCCTTTGGCCTCTTGAGAAGAATTTTATTTATTTTTTCATCTATAACCATGAGAGAAAAGAAGGCATGTCTTGAGTGTATAATGATAACAACTAATGCTTGTTGTGCACTGTGTCTGGCTCTGGGATGAAAACTTTGTGTTCATTTTTTTGAGATGGAATCTGTCTCTGTCGCCTAGGCTGGAGTGTAGTGGTGCAAGCTCTGTCTCATAGGGTTCCAGCAATTCTCATGCCTCTCCTCCTGAGTAGCTGGGATTACAGGCATGCCTGGTTTATTTTTGTATTTGTAGTAGAAACAGGGTTTCACCATGTTGGCCAGGCTGGTCTTGAACTCCTGACCTCAAGTGATCCGCCCAGCTCGGCCTCCCAAAGTGCTGGGATTACAGGCGTGAACCATCAGACCCAGCTTAGAACTTTATGTTCTATGTAGTTTAGTCCTTGTGAGAAACATGATATGTGGCAGATTGGGTTCCCTGGAAGCCAACCGAGGTGGAGATTGGCGTGTAAGAGGTTTGTTAGGGGTGTTCCCAGGTCAGGACCTGCAGGAAGAGGAGGAAAGGGAGAGGACTCGGCTCAGGGAGGAGGGAGAGCGGTGACCTGGTCTCAGTAGAGGCTGCAGCAGCCCCTACAGGGAGTGGTTTCAAAACTACTCTCCCCAGTGAAGCAGCCCCCCTGACCCCTACAGGTGCTGACCGTGGAGCCTCTTTGACAGCAGCACTCCCAGACCTGGGGGAAAGATCTTACAAGATCCTTCATCCTTAATGGGAGATATGGGTGGCACAGCAGAGCATCCACCATGATTATTAGTGTTAGCATCTGCATTTTTTTATTTTGAGGCAAGACCTCACTCCATCGTCCAGGCTACAGTGCAGTGCCGCCATCACAGCTCACTGCAGCCTCAATCTCCTTGGCTCAAGTGATTCTCCCACCTCAGCCTCCAGTGAGCCTCAACCTCCTGTTTGTTAGGACCACTCCTGGGACTGATTGCCTGAGCTTGAGTCCCCTAGAAACCAGCCCTGTGGAGATTTGTGCACAAGCAGTTTATTGCGGCATGCACTTGGGAACTACCCTTGTAAGTGTAAGAAACCAGAATATTATACCTCAAAATATGCCACTGTGACACAACAGTTATTT